TATTGATAGTTAACGTTAAGAATGTGATGAAAAGGCTGTGATATGCTGCCTTTCATCACAGATTTATGTGTGTTATGCTTGACTATGTTTTCATATTCTAGTTACTTCATACATGGTATTCTACCCATGAAGATCTGGGTTAGAAGTGATCTTCAGTAACCCATGTTTGTCGTAAGAGGTGACTAACAGGATTGGGTGGTCAGACTCGCTTACTTGGTTGACACATGTCATCGGTTCCCAATTGCGCAGATTGATGCTTGTGCTGTTGATCACTGGATTGTCTGGTTCAGACTCGATTATTTACAGACCGCCACCATATAGCTGGAATATTGCTGAATGCGGTGTAAAACTAAACTCACTCACTCATACATGGTATTCAATGTATACTGAACATAAAAAGAAACCTAACACTTGGAGAAATGAATTATATTGAAAATGGGTAGTAGAAGGTGCCATAATGGTCAGGTCTAACCTGACACATCCACACATTTCAAAAGTGGTAAAACAGGCTTGGTGCGTGCAGCATGTTCTTTTGTGAACATGAACATTCAGGCTGCCCAGTCTACTGTAGCTGTTGCATTTGCCATGAGGTGCAGCTGCCATTCACAACCTGAGGACATATGGGCATATAACAGGCAAGGCATCTGACCGCCTCAGCTTAGGACGGACACGTGACATCACAATCAAATTCGTCTGTGTCATTTGCATAATCATATTATGACTGCAACGTCAACCAGTAACACAGTTTAGGGGTCCCATCGAACACATATGGGATGCTCTTGGAGGAAGTGTTCATGCCTTGAGACATCCACTCCAGTGGCCCCATGTTGGTACAGCAGTGGCACAGGTTGCCTCATGCTGTGTTCGTGGGTGTTAGGCAGTCAATGAGACAACTTGGCCTTGCTGCTGTGAATGTGAAGAGGGGGTAGGGTATATAAGGGGTAGGGTATATAAGGGGTAGGGTATATAAGGGGCATAGGGTATATAAGGGGTAGGGTATATAAGCGGCATATGCGGTACTGAACAAGCTCCAGTACAGATGGCTTGTACCGGTGAAATCAAAAAGTGGCCCTATCATGCTCCTGTTGACTGTGGAGGGTGCACCAAGCGCACCTTAATGCCTAATCATATTTTACTGCAGACTCATTACGTCCTTAAACCAGGTTTATCATTTATCCACTAGCAACACACTTTATTCTATATGGGAATGTTTGTGACATAAAGTAACACATCAGAAGTTTCTTTTTTCTGTTTAGTATATAAACAAATTGTGATAATAAAAGGTGTTCAAAAATAGCTCAGTATATCCTCCATTAACAGTGGCTCCATCATAAACAAGTTAAGTGTTCACATGAATAGATCGGTACAAACCTTTGTGGGTACGTGGACACAATAAATTTATGTTAGATTATGTCTAGTATTGAGGCATGAATGGGATGATATAAAAATAAATACGTTATGGCGCAGTAGGTCTATTTGAGCACTATACAAGTTGCTTGTGTAAGAAAAGCAAGATTTATGTATGTGAACTTCTTTATTGTGAATAATACATTTCGGAGCAAGCATACACGAATTGCATGAATCGTTTCTTGTAAAAATGTAATCAAATTACTAAATAGGATGTCCTTGAACAACTTTATTGCCAGGCTTTGCCCACTTTAAGTAACCTGCATACTGATAATGAAAATTGTTGAATTCAAATCATGGTATTCTGGCATTTGTGATGAAGTTTACATACAAGTGCACCACCTTCTGCCTATCCTTCCTTCTAATTGACCTTAGGGGCAGTGGGGTAGCCTAGTGGTTAAAGCGTTGGCTCGTCAAACCGAAGACCCGGGTTCGAATCCTAACATGGGTACAATGTGTGAAGCCCATTCCCAGATAGCATTCAGACGTTGGCCCAATGTTGGCAATGGTTTTGCCAACATTGCCAACGTTGGGCCAACGTCTGAATGCTATCTGGGTTTCTGGTGTCCCCCGCCGTGATGTTGCTGGAATATTGCTAAAAGCAGCGTAAAACCAAACTCAGTCAGTTAGTCAGTCTAGTTGACCTGCAGTAGTTATCTCCAGTTTGACAAGGTGGGACTTGAGGAACTGATGTGGGGGTATTGAGTAAAAGCAAAATAAGGCTTGTTTGTTGCCGTGGAACTGAAGCTTTGCTTCTATGATAAGTTTCAGGGTTGTTTGGAACTGGTGACAGGAAATCTGTAACCAACATTTCCTGTCAGAAGCATGTCAAACTCTAACAGAGGGATGTTAGAACTGTGAGAGCAGTTAGAACTGCCAGAACTTATACAGCTGCAAGAAAATGTTGTCCTTTGTCAGTGGCAACTGATCCAGGCATCAGTCTAACATGGTGGCACTACATCAAGGATAAATCAAAATGCTGCACATATGTAGATAATATTTGGTTCGTTTGTTTAATTGTTTGTTTGTTGTTTAACGCTGCACCCAGCAATATTCCAAGAATCGAGTCTGGACAAGACAGTCCAGTAATCAAAAGCATGAACATTGATCTACGCAACTGAGATACGATGACATGTGACAACCAATGTACATAATAAGTAGTATGGATGGATATGATGATATTAAAAACAAATCTAATAAGATCTAATACTGAATGATGTTTTCCAATTGTTTATTACAAAGACTGTTTCGAAGTTTTTCAGATGAACATTTGACTTGCCTTTGCAGGTGTTTGCAATGGCCACCACTGATAAGTCAGCTTCACTCACCATTAGCTGAACACCTGGTGTCATCAATGTTTGATAGTGACTCATAAATACTTGCTGATGATAAAGAAGGAAATAGAAAATGGTTTCTACTCTTACCAAAATAATATTACGAGAATACATGTTTTCCTTTTTGATATATAGAGCTGACATGATATAACTGAAATATTTTTCAAAATGGCCATTAAAGACAACTTACTTATCACAGTACAAATAGTCGTATTAGAGTGCCAGTAGGATGGATAGCATTGTAATGACAGTGTTAACACAAGGCTATTAACTAATTGGGGACAGATGAAAGTACCTTGTGATGATGGTAATCTTGAGAAAACAGTGATAGGTAATGTTTACTCAAATGCACTGGCTTTAGTCGTATAATAAGAACATGCTTAAAGATCATGAAAGATTCATTTCATCTAGATTCAGAAAATGTAAAAGGTGACATCAACTGCAATGAAAGCAAACATTCCAAATCATAGCTGTGATCACTTTGTCAGTTACAGCTTATTGCTGCTTATTGTGTTCTGTGTTGACCTGGCATTCGTTGAGATTGACTGAGGTAAAGATCCATGAAGATTGGGGTCAGGATTGAATTGTGTCCAGCAACCTGTGGTTTTTAAAAGATTTAGCTCACATGCTTGAGTGTCAGGGTGGCTGGCTTTGTTGATGCGATGCCATTGTATCCCACATACATTGATTAATACTCTGATCCATATATACGTGGAATATTGAATATTGATGAATGGAATCCATATATACGTATTGGAATATTGAATATGGGATCCATATATACCTGGAATATTGAATATTGATGAATGGGATCCATATATACCTGGAATATTGAATATTGATGAAATGGATCCATATATACCTGGAATATTGATGAATGGGATCCATATATACCTGGAATATTGAATATTGATGAATGGGATCCATATATACCTGGAATATTGAATATTGATGAATGGGATCCATATATACCTGGAATATTGATGAATGGGATCCATATATACCTGGAATATTGATGAATGGGATCCATATATACCTGGAATATTGAATATTGATGAATGGGATCCATATATACCTGGAATATTGAATATTGATGAATGGGGTATTCAGCATCAAAGACATTAAGAGTGAAATTAGACCAAAACTTTATTTCATCATGGGACACTTTAAGGGAACACATGCCAATACATACTTGTAAAAAAATCCCTTGGGAAAAATACATTTATCTTCCAGCTAATAAGAACAATATGGCACTTTATGCCACAGTAAGAAGCTAATCTCTTTCATCCACAGCACTCGATGTCTCTAGTACACCGTCATGTCTCTTTGTGATAAACTCATATCATGCCATACCTTCATTTTAGACACTTGAATTAAACTTGTTTTCAGCAAATAAGTTGCTTCAGTTCCTGCCTTTTAACATTATACTGAACAAAAATTGTTAGGATTTTGATCCTGAACTTAAGGACATTGTTCTTGTAGTGAAGACTGACTGCACAGTTTCATAAAGATATCCGTAAAATATCCATGGTCGCTTTTTTTTATGGTTTGGTATAGATTTGTTGAAATTCGCTGATATGTCTGTTTAGTTCAGTGAACCACAAATGGCAGCTGAGTGGTGTTCTCATCACTGTTTTTTTCAAGTGATCGATTTAACTTGTTTTCCATGGGTTGGATCCTGTGTTTCATTTCTTTGATATTAAGACTAAGCTTCTCAGCGTTCAAAGGACGAAGTCATTTTGTAATACAGCTGGTTATACAAAGTGTGTGTTTTTTTGTGTGGATTTGATGATTGAGTTTTAATGAAAAAAATATGGTGTTGGAGGAGAGAGTAAAAAGGATGGAAATAAAATGTTCTTCTTCTTTTTCTGAAATCATTACCTGCAGAATACAGGTTGGTGGAGAAAAAGACATACCCACTATGATTGTATTTATATGTGTTTTCTATTTTAAGACCTGTTATATTAATTGATTTTGAGGTTGTCATATTTCAATAATTATAATGGGTGGCCTAGTTGGCTTAGCTAGGTGTTGCAGGTCTCTGTGCAGAGTTGTGTCCCTTAGGCATGTCAGGATACACTGATTCTGGGTTTGAATCCCAGATGCCTCCTGATAATGACCTTTGTGGATGAGCATCTAACTTTACTTCTGGCTTTCTTCCTACATGAATCTGACATGTCTTGGCATCATAGGAATAATATTCAAATCTGCATTATGCTCATTACACTCACAAGTAAAGATTTTTTTCCATGTTCACAGGGTCTCAGATAACATCTAAGTCTGGCGTGCTGGTGGAGTTCTCAGAGCTGGCGTTCCACTTGCGTTCCCCTGGTGATCTGAATCAGGAGGAAATGGATAATATTGTGGACTTTTTACACAAGAGAGTTACACGTCAAGAAGGGACAGAACTCTACCAGCTCGATCTACTCTACAACTCACTAAAAAGGTAACACCATTTGAAACAAATACAATGTGGAGTTGAATGGAAAACTTTCATGGTACTTATTAAAAAATAGAGCATAACTGACCTGTAAACTAACATTTCTATCCAACATATTTAGAAAGGAGGAAGTAAGATAACAGTCCTTTTTGGTCCAAACGTCAAATTGTTTAGTTACTCATAACTCCTGTCACTACCAATGTTCATATGTTTTGGAGGGCACGCTTATTTGCTGTGCAGAGTTACATCCCTTGATGGTGGGTTCGAATCAAGGTCTGGCCCCAATTATGTTTCTCAGTTTCTTAAGTTTCACGAAAGTGGTTTATATGGAGCACCTGCATCTTTTTGAGCTTTCCTAATACATCAAGCTGACATGCTGGTGAACAGAAATATTCTTCAGTGTGGCGTTCAAAGTCACACACACTCACTCACTCACTCACATGCCTTGCTGCTAAATAACTGAAACTGACTTGTGTGCTTGTGTGTCATTGTGCCTGTTGCTTGGATTCTGACCCAAAGGATTGTCTGGATCAGATTCTGTTATTTCCAAAGGCTGTGGGGCCGGTGGGGTAGCCTAATGGTTAAAACGTTGGCTCGTCACCAAGACCCGGTTCGAATCACAAACAATGTGAGCCCATTTCTGGTGTCCCCCACTGATGTTGTTGCTGGAATATTGCTAAAAGCTGCGTAAAAACCAAACTCAGTCAGTCAGTCAGTCCAAAGGCTGTGATATAATTAAACTATTACCAAGGGTGGAGTCAAAGAGCATCAACTTACTTCCTCTCTTGTACAGCTGTGCGCACAAGAGCTACTGGATGTGTGCGGATGAGGCCAATATGAACAAGAGTGACAAGCTCAGACAGTTGATGGAGAACTTCTTCGAGGATAAGAAGTCAGCACTGGAGAGGATGGACGAAGAGGAATCCGAGTCTGACCAGGTAGGTCACAGGTTCAAGGTAAGATGTCTGAGTAGATAGGTCACAGGTTCACGGTCTGACTAGGTAGCTTACACATCTTGAGGTCTTGACTGGGTAGGTCACAGATAGAAAGTCAAAAGTTTGACAGGGTAGGTCACAGGTTCAAGGTCCAAACTTTGACCTGGAATGTCACAGACTGGAGGTCAGAAGTCTGACTGGGTCAGCTTACACATGTATGTCAAGTGTGTATCTGGAGTAAGATGTGCTTGAAAAGAGTACCAGTTGGCTTCCTTTAATAAGGAAAAATGATGATGATGATAAGATGATGATGATTGTGATGATGATGATGATGATGGAATGGAAATTGATTCCAGTTCCATGTTTCATTTCTTTAAGATTCAATGTATTTGATATCAGAAGGCTCTCAGTGAGATGCTCTTTACACATTGTTGATATGTTCCTTTGTCTCTTCAGATCCCGTCAGCCCGAGACCTAGATCAGGTGATCATAGATGTCCGACAATTCATCACCTTGTATGGACAGGAGCACAGCCTCACAGGCAGATCTATAGCGCGTGTGTTTCATGGTATTGGCAGCCCATGCTTTCCAATTGCTACCTGGTGCCGTGTAAGAAGGTTCTGGCGGAGTCATCTGCATGTCAACTTCAATGTGTGTCTGAAAGCAGCAACCAGGGAACTTGTCAGGTTCAGATCATAACTGTTGTATATTCAGGAGGAGTGATCTTTGTGTCAACTGCAGCATGTCCTGAAGCAGGGACCTGGGAACTTGTCACGTTCAGATCATAACTGTTGGATGTTAAGGAGAAGTGATCTTTGTGTCAACTGCAGCATGTCCTGAAGCAGCAACCAGGGAACTTGTCAGGTTCAGATCATAACTGTTGGATGTTCAGGAGGAGTGATCTTTGTGTCAACTGCAGCATGTCCTGAAGCAGGGACCAGGGAACTTGTCACGTTCAGATCATAACTGTTGGACGTTCAGGAGGAGTGATCTTTGTGTCAACTGCAGCATGTCCTGAAGCAGGGACCAGGGAACTTGTCATGTTCAGATCATAACTGTTGGACGTTCAGGAGGAGTGATCTTTGTGTCAACTGCAGCATGTCCTGAAGCAGGGACCAGGGAACTTGTCATGTTCAGATCATAACTGTTGGACGTTCAGGAGAAGTGATCTTTGTGTCAACTGCAGCATGTCCTGAAGCAGGGACCTGGGAACTTGTCACGTTCAGATCATAACTGTTGGATGTTAAGGAGGAGTGATCTTTGTGTCAACTGCAGCATGTCCTGAAGCAGGGACCAGGAACTTGTCATGTTCAGACCATAACTGTTGGATGTCAACTGTTGGATGTTCTGGAGAAGTGATCTTTGTGTCAACTGCATGTCCTGAAGCAGGGACCAGGGAACTTGTCACGTTCAGATCATAACTGTTGGATGTTCTGGAGAAGATCTTTGTGTCAACTGCAGCATGTCCTGGCATGTTGTGAAGCAGGAGGAGTGATCTTTGTGTCAACTGCAGCATGTCCTGAAGCAGGGACCAGGGAACTTGTCACGTTCAGATCATAACTGTTGGATGTTCTGGAGGAGTGATCTTTGTGTCAACTGCAGCATGTCCTGAAGCAGGGACCAGGGAACTTGTCACGTTCAGATCATAACTGTTGGATGTTCTGGAGAAGTGATCTTTGTGTCAACTGCAGCATGTCCTGAAGCAGGGACCAGGGAACTTGTCACGTTCAGATCATAACTGTTGGATGTTAAGGAGGAGTGATCTTTGTGTCAACTGCAGCATGTCCTGAAGCAGGGGCCAGGGAACTTGTCACGTTCAGATCATAACTGTTGGATGTTCTGGAGAAGTGATCTTTGTGTCAACTGCAGCATGTCCTGAAGCAGCAACCAAGGAACTTGTCATGTTCAGATCATAACTGTTGGACGTTCAGGAGGAGTGATCTTTGTGTCAACTGCAGCATGTCCTGAAGCAGCAACCAGGGAACTTGTCAGGTTCAGATATTAACTGTTGGACGTTCAGGAGGAGTGATCTTTGTGTCAACTGCAGCATGTCCTGAAGCAGGGACCAGGGAACTTGTCATGTTCAGATCATAACTGTTGGACGTTCAGGAGAAGTGATCTTTGTGTCAACTGCAGCATGTCCTGAAGCAGGGACCAGGGAACTTGTCACGTTCAGATCATAACTGTTGGATGTTCTGGAGGAGTGATCTTTGTGTCAACTGCAGCATGTCCTGAAGCAGGGACCAGGGAACTTGTCACGTTCAGATCATAACTGTTGGATGTTAAGGAGGAGTGATCTTTGTGTCAACTGCAGCATGTCCTGAAGCAGGGACCAGGGAACTTGTCACGCTCAGATCATAACTGTTGGATGTTAGGAGTGATCTTTGTGTCAACTGCAGCATGTCCTGAAGCAGGGACCAGGGAACATGCCAGATTGAGACAATGACTGTAAGATGATATGTCTCAGGGAACTTGTGATCGTGACTTTATGTCAACAGTAGATGTTCTGTTGGAGTTATCTATATCAATTTCAAGATGTCTTAAATAATCCATGGACATGTTAAGATTAGATATACACTGCAAGTGTCAGTTTGTGTTGACTATTAGACACTGAGCAGACACTGATGCAATGGTATGGTTGAGCTTGAATTTTCTACTCACTTTCACTAAATGTCATACAATAATTTTCTGTTGCAAATTGACATTTTCCATTTTGTCATAATTGGTTGAAACGTGAGAGACATTACTTAGTGTCATAATATATGCCCATAATCAATTTTCTTTTAGAGAACTATGAATATATATAGTTTGTAGATAGCTCTTTGATCTTTTCTTCAAACAATAATTTCAGACAACAAGGAATCTAAATATATTATAGATAGAGAACTAACCTTATAGATATCTGCTACATCCCAAATCTAGGATTACATCGTGTCAAGCTACATCCTCTGATTAGTGTGATATCTTTTCTTCAAAAGGTCAGACTATTTGTACTGAATATATTTTAAAATATTTTAGTCACTGAGATAAATTTTGGTTCTGTAATAACCTGCTGGTATCTGTAAAAACTCAATGTACAAAATCACCCAAAAAATACTTTTAAACTTTCCATGTTTCACTGTTATATATTTTAGTGGATATTGCCATTGTTCTTCTTGTGGTTTACAGTCCACAAACAGACATTAACACTTACATAAACAGACTTAACATCTGAGGATTTGGGCTTCACTTGATGCCCAGCACTGAAATGTGGTGTTCCTGATCAGTCACAGATAATGGTGCCCACTAGTATGAATCAGTGAGTTGGGTTTTACACCATTTGGAACAGATTACATCAGAACATGTCAGATTGACGTGGAAAGAAGCCATTATGTTCAAGTTTATGTCCCACTTTGAGACCTTCAAACAATGATATGATGCTGGAAGGCTCAGAAATATAATCCGAGTGTAGTTCGGAATCAAACCCAAGATCATAGGTTCTTTGTAGTCAAAATGGAGTGGCTCAAAGGGAGATGCAAATCGCAGTGCCTCTGATGACTAGGGCACCTTCTCCAACTGTATCTTGTTCCTGACCCTGACTCCCAGCTTGGTTATCTAGACTCCAGCCAGCGGTGAATGCTGCAGGCCAAATTATCAGAAATGGTTCCATTTTTGTTTTGTTTTTTAAAGTGCATCACTTTTTTCTGAATATGTGGACTCACCTTAATTGCATCACCTGTCTGTAAGTATGTGCACTCACCTTTTAAAAATATCTCTAACAGCACTTGGGAATACACACTGATCTCCTGACCTGGTTAATAGTGTCATGCCCTTTTAGCATATCTCTTTGTGGTGTGAGTCTGTTGGTTTTTGAGTATGGTTTAATGACACTTTTAGCATTATTCCAGCAATATCACAGTGGGGACACAAGAAATGGGCTTCTCACATTGTACCCATTTTGGGAATCTAAGCTGGGTCTTCAGGGTGACGAACGAACACTTTAACCACTTGGGTACCTGCTACCCCACTGCCCCAAGGACAATATAAGGTGCCAGGACTGCTTGAGGGTGAGTGAGTCAACATTGATCATAGAATCACAGAAATTCTTTTGGACAAGTGGAATTAATTGCATGTAGAAAGAATCAAGTTCTATTCTTTGAAAAAATAATGATTTTTCAACTTCTGTGTCCATGGATGCAAGTTCTATGTGCAAAGGCAGGAGTAGTTATCCACATGGGCACTCATATAGTCCAGTCCTTGCTGATCTTTAGCCATGTATACACACAGAAGAAAGTATTGCAAAACCAATGATATTTTAACGACACATATCCATTTATATTCATATAATTACGTTTGTTTCTATAAAAAATATATAATTAGTTTGACACTTCGGGTGCACCATACACTGATTTTTTATATGGACATACTGCGATAAAATACTGCTTCACGTGCAATACATGTCATTGAGGGAAATTGGAAGAGATGTTGATTGTCATCCAACAACTATCAGCTGATTGGCCAGAAAACATAAGCAAACTAATGCCGTTGAGGATCGTCAGCTTTCAGGTGGACTAGGAGGGGCAACTCTGTGGGAGAAACAGCTCTTCTCAGAATCTGACGATCTGATCAGGGACGATGCGTACACATCGGACTTTATGTTTTAATTGGCAAAACCAGAACGATGGTACACATCGAATTTATGTTTTTAGATGTTTGTCTTAGATGTTCGGTAATTGAAATTGGTCCAAGTCGTTCTGTAGTAGTCAAACTGCCATTTCCTCTCCACTGATTTACTCAAGTGAAATAGAAATACAAAAGACAAGTGAAACTTGGTCAAAACATATGTTCCAGAGAGACAAGACGACATGAGTGCTGCCTTCAACTGTCCCACGTCCAACTGTAATCTGGCAGCAACCGCTTCCAAATGAAATTACATTTTCATTTGACTCAGTGACCAAAATGATATCTGATGCTGTTCCTTATTTTGACATTACATGAACCATATGTTCTCTACCCATACAGATCCGGGTTACAGTTGGTGTTTAGCAACCTAAACATAAAATACTCAATGAAACGCTGATCATAATCAAAACATCATACCCACTCTGTGAGTTTTTGCAGAATTTTTGTCCCAAAAATAAAAAAAGTTGTTTAACAAACTATCATTAAAATATTGACACAGTTCACTGTTTGTTACGAGGAGGAGTGCAGAGAAAGGACAGCCAGGTGTTCGAGAAGCACCTTTACAGAAAGTTATTTATTCATTAACCTGTGCTGTGCCGTCTCCATCCGTTCTCGAACACCTGGCTGTCCCTTTCTCTGCACTCCTCCCTCGTAACAAAGACTATAGGCTTGTTGTATAAGGGGGTTAATGCCATCGGGTGGTCAGACTCGCTAACCTTTTTGACACATGTCATCGTGTCTCAACTGCGTAGATCGATGCTCATGCTGCTGATTACCGGATTGTCTGGCCCAGACTGGATTATATACAGACCGCCGCTGAAATATTGCTGAGTGTGGCGTTAAACAACACACGAACAAAAAAATACATTTATGTTTTCTGGTGGGTTTAGGTGAACATTTACCTTGCCTTCGCCTGTGTTTGTAATCGGTACATTAGTGGGGCAGGGTAGGCTCAACATTCCTCAAACAACCCACAATAGTATAAAATGCTTCATAGTTTCTGATCCAGCATTCTCCGAGTTCAGCGGTATACCTTGGCAGATAACAATATTGCGCTCGTAAAACATTTAAATAAGCACGTATGTTGGTCTAATCTTTCAGGTGCGTTTATAATTAAAAGAAAGGTCTTTGATACAGCCCCTTCCTGAACGTTAGAGAACCCTCCGTGCTTGACCAGTTATCTTGGCATGTGTGGCAAACGCGGATCAGACAGGAGCCTAGTCAGACTCAAAGTTAGTTTACTGCCGACTATCGGTGATCACATAATGCTTACTCAATAAGTCTGTAATCCTTAGTTTACTGACAGTAAGAATTCAGTCTGGTCAGACAAGTAAGGCATGATGCTCATGGGCGAGTCCAGGAATTTTGAAGGGGGGCTGGGATGTGGGGTGTGTGTGTGTTTCAGGTTGGCTCCGCCATCGCAAAACAATCTTCATTGTGGTCTTAAGTCAATTTTCAAAGGGTGTGTGTGTGTGTGTGTGTGTGTGTGTGTGTGTGTGTGTTGTGTTGTGTTGTTGTTTGTTGTCGAACCCCCTGAACCCCTCCTCTGGATCCGCCAATGATGCTGATAAACCCAGA